TTGTTGAATGTACAGTCGTTTCCACTCGAATAACGGTGTGGATGCACTGTGAATGCCAATACCTACAACATTGCTGGAAAAATTATTGTTGATCGACGTGATTGCATGGAATATGTCGCCCAGGTGGTCCATCGTCTCGTAGGCTATCCATCGGGTTGAGGCGGCAGCCCTAAGCCCCAGTCTGTTGTGCCAATTTTTAGTGTAACTCGGTGGTGGTGAAGGACCTCTTCGTATGCGGTCCTAGTTTCATTTGTTTGCTGTAATTTATTTTCCCTCCATTGAACTCTTGTGGTGCTACACAGATGGCAGAAGAAAGCATCCGTCATGGCTTTTCTAGGTGAGACGCCTCATCGAAGTGGAAGAAGTGCGCATAGTTTGATCCATAAGGGGACGACGATGCAAATGATACCTAGAAAAGTCTTCTTTTATTAATTTTCTTCACCTTTATAAAGTTTGTTCAAAAATAAAAGTGATCGTATGACTGTGCGATAAATATGACAAGGAGGGAAAGATGCAGAATGCGAATTGCACACAACTGGGTTACATTCCTTCTGTAAAACTGTTAATTCGACTGCTTTCATGGGTGGTATTAACTTTAACACTCCTGCGTTCTCTTTCTAAATACAAGCATTTAGTCAAGACTTATGCTTTTCTATTTGAACATTTGGCGAAAGCAGAAAGTGGACTCGGCTTCGTTACTATTTAAATCCTATTTTTTGCCTTCTTTTGACAAACTTCTACGACATGATTGAAGTGCGTATGCTTTGGGTGGGAGATTATTGAACACCACCACAACAAAAGGGCTGAAACGGAGTGCGTGTTTAATCCTCACCTCGTTCTCGCTACTGAAAAGCTCATAAAAGTTTAAGTGGAACCTGGTTTACATTCTTTAAGAAGTCTCGTTCCAGAGTTTCTCCCACTTTGTCTGCATATAAATGTCAGTAAGATTAAACTGCCACAGGTCCAACCCACATGAGGTTGTCTTCATTTCCTTTCGCCTTCGCAATTATTTTGGACGGTCGTGTTAACGTCTGGTCTTTGGACATATGTGACGGCCAACAAGATTTCCAGCCTTTGATTTTTGTTTCAGGTCGATTTTAACATCAAATCCACGTAAAGCACGTTTTCTCAATATCGTAGGAGCGACTGATTAACACAACGGGACATGGTTGATCTTTTGCAGCACCGAGTATATTGGGATGGCTGGTGTGAGATATATATATATATATCGAAGATAGTGACTTTGATGTCCCTCGATTGCCTATATGAGTAGAGGATATCTTGATTTTGCTTGCTAGAGCCCCAACCCATCACTTCCCTCCTGAATACAAGTACTTAGCCAAGTTGTATGCCTTCCTGAGTAAATAGGAAGTCTTGGAACGCT